TATTAAAAATTAAGAGAAGATAAAATATAAGTTGACTGTATGAATATTATAACATGGTATAAATTTTATAAAAATTTTATTGTTGAATTTTATAATATTTAATAACAAATTTTATAAAAAGCACATTTTGCAGTCAAATAAATTAATTACAATTAAAAAGAAAAAAAAAAAAAAATACTATTTTTTTAATCATATATTTACAGTAAAAAAAATTTTTTAAATAAAATTATTTTTTTTGACAAAGTTACCTAATTCATTCTAAAAATACATTTTTATAAATTTACTTTTTTACGAGTAATTCGTATCAGTTCAAATTTAATGTTAATATTATTTACTGAATATAAAAATATATCTTTAGTTAAATATAATAGATTTTTTCTTATAAAATTCAATAGAATGAAATTTTATTGTGATATAAAAAATATCAATAAATAAAGATAAAAAATGAATTATAAAATAACTTTTTGCATATATATTATTATAATCTTCTAATTAAATATAAAAAAAAATTATTTTTTTTTTTTTTTGCCTTATATATTTATTTGATAAGTGTTTATTATTATTACGATTTGTTTATTTTCTTTTTTATTTTTACTTTTATATATTTATAGAACAAATTTTTATTATTTAATTTACTTACCAAAAAATTTAGGTAACTCATTTATATAGTATAAATGAATTCAACAATTGTCCTTCCTAATATATCTTATTTCTTAAAAAAATAAATTTTATAAGACATCTTTCCAAATATTAATAGAGAATTTTAATAAGAATTTTTTTTTTTTTTTTATCTGTTAGAATCTTTGACGTATTATTAATAAAAAGTAGTGTGTATAAATACTATCATTTTTAATATTTTAATGCTGATTTTTCTCTAAAAAATAATCATAAATTTAATAAAAGTGCATTTTTTATGATTCATATTTTTTTAATATTATATGTAAAAGTTGTTCTTTCCAGTAAAAATATGTACAATATGAAAGTGCTTACATTTAACATAGATATTAAGTGATATTAAAATAATTTGAATAGTGTGTGTATTGGAGATATAGAAACATAAATTATATAAATAAAAGTTCAGGAAGTAATAAAATTATTATAATTATTACAATTTATATCAAACATGTTAAAATTTTTAAATCTTTTTTTTACTATATGTTTTATTAAAAAAAATTAATTTATTATCTGAAAAATTCTTGAATAGATATTATCACTTTATATTAAACGTATTACAAAAAAAATTTTTTTTAATTTTTCGTTTATTATATGTTTTGTAAAAGAAAATTCTTAATGATAATATATACTAAGAAAGAATATACTATAAATGTTAAATTTTAAAAAAATATATTTTTGAAAAAAAAAAAAAATAGAATTAAACTTTAATATTTAAATAAAAAATTAAGCCTAGTTTTAAATTTTTGTAAATTTTATGAATTGTATTAGAAACTATATTTTTTATCAGGAACAAAATAAAACTTATAAGAAAATGGATTATTAAAAAAAAATAGTCCTATGAAAATATAATGGTAAGAAGTAGGAAAAACATATACACCTTATTTTAATTTAAGAAATGGCACTTTTATATAATAAAGGATGCGATGATTTTGAAGGAGAATCTGCCAAATGTCATATGACTCTCTTACGATTTTGATGTATTTATATATATTTCTATATGCTTTGAACAAGTGATTCTTAATTATGTGATCTACTTGATTCGGTATTCTTTAATTTCATTAGGCATTTATTTACTTTAATAAAAATCTTTATTTTTATTAAAAATTTAAATACTTATTTAACATTAATTATTAATTAATTATAATTACTAGTTTATTTATTATGAGTTATATTCAGCAATTATTTTATATTGCTGTTGAATTAACAAACTGATTTATTAACTGGGTGTTCTGAGACTTTGCTAGAGTACTAAACAAACCAATTAATAAAGAGCATGTAGAGATGACTCTACGATTTTTTTTATACTTATGTATATTCTTATATGCTTTGAGCGAATGATCTTTAATCATAAACTACTTCGTTCAGCATTCTTTTGCTTCAATAAATATTTATTTACTTTAATAAATAAATCCTTATTTTATTAAAAATTTAAACACTTATTTAACATTAACTCTTAGTTAATTATAATTATTAGTTTATTTATTACGAGTTATATTCAGCAATCATTTTATATTGCTATCGAATTGACAAAACACAAATACTTATTAAAAATGCAAATAAATTATATGCATATTAATTACATGAAAATTTTACCTTAAAAAAAAAAAAAAAAAAAAAGAATTTTTTTTTAGGGAAGGAAATGAAATAATTTTTGGTGATGAATTTTGTAAAAGAAAATTCTATATATATAACATTAAAATTTTCATGTAATTAGTATACGCATAATTTTTGATATTTGCAAATAATTGCTCGTGTTTTTTAATTCAACAGCAATATATATTAATTGCTGAATGTAACTCATAATAAATAAACTAGTAATTTACATTTAATTAACAGTTAATATTCAATAAGGATTTAAATTTTTAATAAAAATAAGGATTTTTATTAAAGTAAATAAATGACTATTCAAAATAAAGAATGCTGAATGAAGTAGATTATATAATTAAGGGTAAAACATTCAAAGCATTTAAAAATATATATAAATACAGCAAAATCATAGAGGCAACTCTACATGCTCTTTATTAATTTGTTTGTTCAGTACTCTAATTAGTCACCGAACACCCAGTTAATATAACACAAAGTTACCGAACAGACAATTAATAAATCAAATACTCTAGCAAATGCACTGTACAGATAATTAATAAATAAAAAATTACGCTAAAAAATAAATATAGATATATTTTGTTAATCTTTTTTGTTGTATTTGTATTTACAATTATAAAAAAAAAAAAAAAAAAAAAACATTATGATAGCATTTTTATTTTTTTTCTTTAATTGAATAATGCCGAATGTTTTTATTTTATGAAATATTAAAAATATAATGTTAAAATTTATTCATAAAGAGTATTAAGTGAATAAAATTATATAGTAATATTCTAATGTAATTAATGTTTAATATTAATTGATAAAAGTGTATAATTTGTTTAATATTTTATTTTATTTAAAATAAGTCGAGTTCTCTCATGTTCACTACTAAGTTGCTTCTTTAGTCTGATGAAAACATTGAAGGAAAAATTAATAATAAATATTCCATATTCATTAATATATTAAGCAAAATATAAAAAAAAGAAAAAATACATGCTTATAATATAATAATTCAATTTATTTTTCAGATAATTAAAGTATATTCTGTCTTATAACATATTTAATAGAATTATTCTATAATTCATAATAAAATTATTTACTTCTTTTATTGCGTATTGTATTCATTTTATATAATTTTGCTTTTAGGTTATATCATATTGGTAGATCCTAAGAATTATATATATTTAAGCGCATATAGAAGTTATTTAATCAAAATAATGTATGAATTTTTTTATTAAAATTTGGAATATTTTGATTATTTTTATATTATTGTTTTTTTGATTTATTTTCTATCATAACATGTGTTAATATTAATATAAAAAAAATACGAAAAAACAAAGCGTGAATAAAATTTATTTTGTATCTTTACCTAAAAAATAAAAATAAAAACATGCATAAGTTTCTGCATGACAAGATGAAATTTTATTTTTATTTTTTCTATTTAATATAATTTTATTTAGTTATTTAATAAAATTCATTTCTTTTCATGTTTGATGTTACCAAACATGAGAAAACAAAAAATTTCTATATATATTACTTTTTCGGAATTTTTATTTATACTATTGTATATATATATATCTTGAATTATTAACATTAAACAAAAATATAAAAATGTTGTATTTATATAAAAATTACAAA